CTGAGTCACCGAAAGTAAGTAATCCAGTACACGTTCTCGGAATATTTGAAAAAACTCATCATTGACGTTACGATACGCCAAGTTGACAATAAAATTCAACAGCCTTGAAAACCAAAAGTTCTGAGTGGATTCGCCATCAAGCAGCACGAAATCAAAAAACGGGTTCATCATCGTCATTACATTTTGCAGATATTTTGATTTTCTCCGTGAAGTTGAATCAATGGATCTGAAGATTCTTTGAAGTTCAAAGGTTTAGCATGATTCATAAAGTTACCAACGAAAGTTCTCGTGACAAGGTAAACTTAAATATTGTCTTTATTACCGGCATCTTTGTTCATCGATATTATGCCAATAGATTTCCGCTTTACTCGAGTCGCAAAACATCTCTGGGATAATCATAGACATATTGTCCGAGACGCGTCTTCTTTTGGAAAATTTTTTAGAGGAATCAAATTTAGAGAACTCTTTCTTGAAATCAAATTCTTATTTGACAAAGCTCTTCCACGTACCATATTTTTTCCACCGTGACGTGAAAACTCGGATTCGTGCTTTAAACCACGTAATTTCTGTAATCGGTGAAAATTCGGAATCACATAAATTTCCAATATTCTTAATATTCCTCTACATATTAAGAAATGACGACTCTTCCTCGATTCATATTCATATTTTATATCGCTCCTTGCCATCCCTTATTTCCGCTAATGACTTTGCCATTACCTCAAAAATTTTAAAAATATCCATGAGTCTTATCGAGGGAGAAAACGGTTTCAGAGAGACAAAGTTATGCGCCGTTGGCATAAGGATGTTGCATAAGCTTTGCATTCGATACAAAGGTTGTTGGAAATCTTTGAGATTCGTATTGGCCGAGTGGGTTAAGAAGAGGAAACTTGTCACAGTCTCGAAATTTGACAAAATGTACACTGCGGGTGAAGGATTTGAGGTCGAACTTGCCGTCCTTGCTACCATGAGGTGTGAATTATTGTGGTGTATGATTTTTATACTGGTTAAATAACGATTTTTCATTAATCAACAAGAACCCGTTTCTCCTATGTATTTTATTATGTTCATAGAGATATGTGTAGGTCAAATGGAAAAGATTACGCCGAGGAATTACTGCCGTTTATTTCATCGTTGTTACAATCTGTAATCTTACATCCAAAGAGCTTATGCTTAATAATAGAATCATTGACCGCTTGCGTTGAAGCAGAAGTCGCAAATGCTAGAGCAGGTGACATATTCCCGAGTTTGGTTGGTTTGTGAAGTCAACGTTTCAATTCTATTGCAACTGCTGACGCGTTCCTCTCGGATTTTACAGTTTGGAGTGTTCTGTTGGTACATGTGGCTAGTGCAATCACGCAACGAGAGTATTTTAACGCCCAGCTAATCTCTAGATTATGTGACTTTTACAAATCTATTGCTCAGAGTGATGAGAGTATGTTTTTTGAAGACTTGTATTTTAAAAAAATGATTGAAATGTTATGGATAATTCATCCATTGAACTGCTAGGTACGGATCTTTATTCCGAATTCAAGAAGGAAATATTATCATCATACATATGCCCACTAGTGTTTCCTCGGAGATTTGATGCAACCGAAGAAGGGGGCCAAAATATTCTTTTTCAAATACAAAGGGATCGTCGTATTCTTAGACTTGGCCTTCAGGCGATATCATATTTTCCTGCTGTCGACATTCTATCATGTATTTTTCCGGAATCACCCGAAGCATTGTTATCACAAATTTTCCACGAGGATGCGGAGGGAGGTTCTGATCTTTGTCAAATCGAAGAGTGGCAATATGTATTTGGCAAAATTATTTCTCATGAAATCAGTAGCATGAGACG